ATTTTGAAAAACTACAGTGGTTTAAAAAATAAAGTAGCTTATTTTTGAGTATAATTTTTTCCAAAATGTAGGTAATTTGCTAAAAATAATATATAACATGTCTAAAATTGATGTAATTCGCCAAAATAGTCAATTATAACCTATTTTAAAATTTAATCTTAAAAATATATTTATTATATACTAAAATAAAACTATTCGGATATATAACAAAAAAAACCTCTAATTCTCTAATAAAAATTGATTAGAGAGCCAATTTCGTAAACATACTAATGCCTCTACAGTATTTGGATCTAAGTTAGTACGATTATTATCTACAATTTTGTTAGCTAAACTAAAAATATATTTTGAAGACACACTTGTAGCTGGTATAGCTAAAAAATCTCGTGCTATTTTGGATAAATTTGGAAACCAATTACAATTTAATTTCTACCAATTAAGTGCTTTTGTATCCTTTGAAGTTGTTGGTTCATTTAAATACTGTTGAAGTTCATGTAAATTATTATTGATACTGGCACAAGTTTGCTTAAATGCGTATTAAAAATAATAATCATCAGACTGATAATCAGAATTTGTTAAATCATTTTCAGCAGAAATATCAGTAAATGAATAGTCATAATAAAATCTAATATATGTTTTTTCAAATCTATAAAAATTAAAAAATAATAATTTAATATTTAATAATTAAAATTAAAATTTAATATTTTAAATAATATATTTTATAATTTTGTGATTTATAATTAAACTCTATAATTACCTTAATTGTAAATCTGTTATGATACTTTCAACCTTCTCTTGTGATAATTTCTCTTTCTACTTGTAATAATATTTGAATCATTGTAACTTATAGCAAGGATCAAGTATACATGCAATTACGTATAAAATGCTAATATTTTTCCAATATTTATCAAATTTTCTCTCATCATGTTGGCAAATTTGCAAATAAATGTATTGGAATCAGATTGCATTTTTTGTAAATACATTTTAATTTTAGAAATTATCATAATCGCATTATTAAGTATTAGATAGGAACTTGCAGATATTTAATTTGTACCTTTATTAAATAATTTAAGATTAAAAAGTAATGTTATAACCTAATCTAAAACATTATTTTTTAAAAAAATATAATCCTGATAAAATTAATTAGCATTAGCTATATTATTTGTCGATTTAGTCAGAATCATATTCTTTTAGAAAAATTTTTTTAAAAAATCATATATACCTATAAATTCTCAAAATAATAGGCATGGGCATTATTTCGAATTTTGGCCCAAATTTGGGCCAAAATTTGAAATAATACCCATGCCTATTATTTTGAAAATTTTGGTAAAATTAAAATTTATAATTATATTCATAAAAAATCATAAGCCTATCATGAATTGCACTTGCTTGTTCCTATTCATCCTCAGATGGTAGATCTGAAAAGAGATAGTCTCTATTTTTAAGCCTTAACAATGCTTTTTTAACTTTAATTGCAGAATCCAACATAAGAAACATGGAGTTCCATCTTGTAACACAATCAAGTGGAGGTATCATTACACCAATATCCTCATAATTACAAGCATCAATAAAGGCTTGACGGCATTTTGGCGAGGTATGAAGTGCTTTAATGCAATCTCGAACCTATAAAAAAATAAATAAATTTTATATTTTTTTTTTCTTTTTATATTATTTTACACTAATACTATCTTTTTTATATAATATAAATATTACATACTTTATTAATAATGTGTTTAATTTTTTTTATACCGTTTTGAACAATCAGATTAATAATATGAGCTAAGCAACGATTTTGAAAAAGTTCAATATCTACATCAACTGAAAGAGAGGTAAGCTAATCAGCAAGTTCATTAATAGCTACATTATTGGAGAGAGCATTATCAAGTGTTATAGTCTGTAGCTTTAAAATATATTATAGTTAAGTTTTTTTTAATTTTAATAAAATTAAATATTAGACCACAATTTCTAAAAAACTTTTTACTAGAAAAAAATACAGTACACTAGAGTAAAAGTCAACAACTTCTCACATAAAACATAGGAAAAGGGACTATAAGTCAGCAGCTGTTATTTAGAGATAGTTTTCATATGCTACTTGCTAACAGTCTCAGAGTTTATCACTTACTGACTGCAGGCACAGCACTTGTTATTTAGAAGTAGTTTTCATATACTACTTGCCAACAAGTTTAGAGCTTATTACTTACCGAAAAGACTTAGTACTGTGTAGGCTCTGGTGGATAGTTAATTCTAGTAAAAGAAAACCTATGCTCTTTTGGTAGTTTCAAGTATTTTCTTTCTCTCTTATATTTTGCCGACCTCACCAAAAAATTTCGACAAAAAGTGGGTATTCCAGCTTATCCCCTCCAAAAGATCGGCATTGTTTACACTTATCTAATTCAGACAAACTCAGTAGAATGCAACCACATGTTTGTTTTGTTTATCGCTATGGTGCTACGATATAGGGATGAAATCAATAACTCCTGTTTAGGAAATACCTGATCTTGGTGACGTGTCTGAAACGAGTCTCAACGATAAAGCGAAGCTTTACAGCCGAGATATATTAATTAGTTGCAATTAGTATATAATTTTTACCTTTATACCTAGCACGGGTTATTCTTTAAACTGTAAGCAATTCCAGGCAAATTTGCCTGGAAAATTGCTATAAATTTGCTTATGATTTACTTTTTTTAAAAT